CTTTCGTGGGCAATGAGTGGTCGTAGGATCCGACATGACCTGTTCTATTTGACGTTTTTTATTTGTGGGGTAAATGCGAAATTGGATCACTAAAATTACTAATTCGTTCCATGTTTAGTCACTAAAAAAAATTAATATCAATTTTGTTCACTTGAATTACTGAAACAGGTCACATTTAGTCACTCTCCGTTAGTCTCTGTCCAACTCCGTTAAATGAGTCTATTATGTGCTGACATGGCTAACGGGAGCGCCTAGTCAGCGTCATTTTGGGCGGGAAATGGTCAAACCCGACCTGCCACGTCACTAAACCCGTCATGCCATACACCCAACCCGACCCGACCCAGAACCAAATCGGAGCCCACTTAACAAACAAAATTGCATCGTCCTAACCCCGCATCGTCGTTCCATTCATATGATCCCAAATGGTCAACTATACACGCTTAAATTACTTGACGAAGAAGCTAACGAAGTTGGGAAGAAGAAGGGCAGAATTTGGCTAAGTCAAAATCCGTGTTTATGGTAGCTACTTTGGAAGCTTGTATCTCACAAATAGATCATTAAAAATTGGAGATCAAGGGCTTGTTTTGAATATAAAATTACCACCTTTCGAATGGTATGCTTTTTGAATTCAGAATATATCATTAAGGTTGTTTTCCAAGAACTCAAAGTTGCTACCTCAAAACTGGAAAACTGCCAGGAAATTGTTAAGTATAAATCTGTGATCGTGAAGCCTACTTTGGAGTTCAATTCAATGAGCTTGTATCTGATTCGAGACCAAAAGCTTCTACAACATGAAAGTACAAATGTTTATCTGCCAAGGTAAGGAATCGGATGAAAGATCGGAGTTCTGGAAGGCCTCGAACGAAAGGCGTAAAGTTAGTACGAAAACTGCTTTTGGACTGGTTCTCGCAGCTTGCTTGTGCTTCAAGAAAAGGAGTTTAAATCCAAATTTTGAGTCCTTATTAGAATAAACTTTACCTTAATTGTTTCAATGTTTATTTAGGTTTATATTAGATTTTCTTGGCTATAAATAGCCTTCTATTTGCGTTGTAAAAAGACAGACTTTGATTAATCGAAAAACAAACCCTTTGGTTTTGTGCAAATTGCGACTTGTTTGAGTTTGGTGGATTCCAAACTTGTGAGCTTTGTATCGATTGAATATTTACTTCAATCGTGGTCGAGCGGCTACCCTTTTATACCATATGTATTAAGAACGCGTTGTTCTTCATTCGAATTCTCAATCAATCTCCGGATTGAATGTTTGTTGCGTGACTTTGATAAACATACCCCCACCAAGGTCGTATCAAGTGGTATCAGAATCTGGTTCCACACAAGGGCGAAGGAGAAGAAGAAATCTACTGTTCCAGTACAAGCAGAATTTGAAATTCAAAACAGGACAGCTCCTGTTCGTGTATTGCAGCTGCTGTTTGTAGTTGAATCACGAGGGAAATTTCGACTCTTCACTAAGAGATGGTGGAGAGCAATGAAGAGGCAAAGGAGCTGCAAGTTCGTGGTCAAGAGAAGCGGCCAGCAGCTCCAATTCAGCGTCGAGAATCCGACGAGCAGCGAGACAATTTGTTTCACAGTCGATGCAATGTCAAAGGAAAATCACTTGCACTCGTGATCAATGGAGGTTATTGTCCAAACATTATCAGTCTAGAAGCTGTCCAAAAGTTCGGATTAACGATGCAAAACCATCCAGAGCCTTACCAACTCGGTTGGATCAATGAGCACGGGACGATTAACGTGCGAAACAAGCGTTGGTTCATTTTCAACTCGGCAGTTACGAAGACGAGGTAATTTGTGATGTTTTTTCGATGAATTATGCTCATCTAATACTGGGTAGACCTTGGCAATTCGATCGTAAGGTCACACATGCATGATGGTCGAACCAATCGATACAAGTTTGAGCATCACAGCAAGAAGATCGTTCTGGTACCCCTTTCGCCGGAAGACGTTTGCTGCGATTTGAAGCATTTGGAGGAGAATAGGAATGAGAGAAAGAGCGTACGAGCTCAATTGTGGGTGCAGAGACATATTGGGCTTGATTTTCTGAGCTTTTGAAAGCTCTCCAATGCGAATTTGGTGTTGGAACAGGTCACCATCCACGACCCCTGTCTTTCTCGACAAAACAGAGTTTGGACTCTGGTACCCCTGCCGACAAAGGAGCCCGACGAGGTTTCTAGATCGTTGCGGGAAGGTCAAGGAAAGGTTTCCAAAATGCCAATCGTTCCACTTCAACAGGGAATCGAAGAAGTTGATTCTCCGATTACTTGTTCAGGCACCGGTCGACCCTATTTTTCTTCAACGGATGAGCAGGGCAGGAGAGAGAGTGAAAGGGGGAGAGAAATATGGGCCACGCCAACTGATACTGGGGGCATCGACACATTCAGTGAGATGGCGAGAACGTGTCGGTCTGGCCAATTGGAGTCTGATGTAGGCAAATCGAAAATTCCTAAGTTGGGTTTATCGAACTCAAACGCGGAGGACAACAGGCAGATTCAGGGCGAATTGGTTGCAGAGTATGTAGGTCAATCGTCCCAGGAAACCCCTCGGAATAGGTTCTTGGAGGCCCAAGGAAGGTGTAGGACACGAGGGATCGCGAAGAAAATGCCAAATTGTAAAACCCCCAATTTTTGTTTTGCGTCGGCGGATTCTGGGTTTCGTACGCCGGAAACTGGAAATTTCAAATACCCCAGTGGCGGGAAATTCGTGAGCTTTAAATGGGGGTGGCTTGGACAGCTTCGAGAAGCGAGGAGGGTTGTAATCGAACCCTGGCATCGAGACGAATCTAATGGAAGTGATGAATTGGAGTGGAATGGAGGAGGACGAAAGCCCCAATCTCAACCACCTCACCGGAAAACTTAGAACCGCCGGATTCTGGAAAATTTTCGCCGAAGTTCGAAAATTTGCACGAGCCAATTCTAGGTCAAATTTCATTGAATTCTTGCATAGGTAAAATATCCTTTGGGGTCCCACAAAGCTACTAAAACAGATTGAGGGTGAATTTGAAGCTGCCACAATTATGCTGAAGATTGTGATTGGACAGCCCTCTTTCGATCCAATTTGGGATCAATTCTGTGTATGGTTTGAGCAACGAAAGGCCAAAGTGTTGAGGGCAACACTTTTTCAAGAGGCAAGGCCTGATATGATCCCAAATGGTCAACTATACCCGCTTAAATTACTTGACAAAGAAGCTAACAAAGTTGGGAAGAAGAAATGCAGAATTTGGCTAAAACAAAATCCGTGTTCATGGTACCTACTTTGGAAGCTTGTATCTCACAAATGGCTTAATGTAAATTGGAGATCAATGGCTTGTTTTGGACATAAAATTGCCACCTTTCCAATGGTATGCTTTTTTATTCCAGAAGATATCATTAAGGTTGTTTTCCAATGCCTCAAACTTGCTACCTCAAAACTGAAAAACTGCCAGGAAATTAGTATAAATTTGTGATCGTGAAGCCTACTTTGGAGCTCTCAAGGAGCATGGATTTGATTCCAGACCAAAGGTTCTGCAACATGAAATTAGGAATATTTATCTACCAAGGGAAGGAATCGGATGAAAGATCGGAGTTCTGGAAGGCCTCGAACGAAAGGCGTAAAGTTAGTACGAAAGCTGCTTTTGGACTGTTGCTGGCAGCTTGCTTGTACTTCAAGAAAAAGGATTTTAAATACGAATTTTCAGTCCTTATTAGAATAGAACTTTACCTTAATTTTTTCATTGTTCATTTAGGTTTTATTAGGTTTTCTTGGCTATAAATAGCCTTCTATTTGCGTTGTAAAAAGACAGACTTTAATTAATCGAAAAACAAACCCTTTGGTTTTGTGCAAGTTGCGACTTGTTTGAGTTTGGTGGATTCCAAGCTTGTGAGCTTTGTATCGATTGAATATTCTCTTCAATCGTGGTCGAGCAGCTACCCTTTTATACTATACGATCTCTCCCCAGGTGTGGAATTGTCTGTTGGTTCCGTTTTATCCAATTTTCATATTAATAACGCGTTGTTCTTGATAAGAATTTTCAATCAATCTCCGGATTGATTGTTTGCTGCGTGATTTTGATAAAAAATACACCCACCAGGGTCGTATCATCCATTCTCTCTGTTCTCTCTCTATACAGGATACAGGGGAACTTTTAGTTATGGGAATGAAACAAAATGAGTGGAAAGATTGCCATTGTTGGCTAATTACATGGGTTTTGATTAATAGACCTGGTTATGGGAGAATCTGCAATTCAGTATGAAGATTCCACCGCTCCCCCAGCAGCGGAAATGCCAACCACCGTCTCGTCGCCTATGGCCTCTGATCCCTCACCCATCACTTAAGCCCTAGTTCTCCCCCGCGCCGCTTGTGAGAATCACTGTATTGGCTGTCGCCGCCATGGAAACCAACCAAATCGGAGAAACCCCATTATTGATTGGACCTCCGGGGGACAATTTTGCCACCAAGTTGCTCTGTTTTGCCAAATCGATGAACATAAATTGCAGATCAACCTCGACAACCGCCCGTTACAAACCCTAAACCCCCAAATCATCGACACGACTCAGGAAGAACATGGATTGCAGCTGCAATGGTTGTGTGGATTTTCCGAAGGGGTTTCTCGAAGGAGAAGTGGTGCGATAGGATGATAGGTTTTGGGTTTTGCGGGGGATAATTTGGAGAAGACGCCATTGATGAAGCTTGAGCTCTGCTGAGGAAGCTGGTAGCAACCCATTCGGCCAGAGGAGGGCTCGACGAGATAGGTGGGCTTTTGGAGTTAGTTGCTTTAATTATGTTATGTTCTTAATTGGGTTAGCTTGTGTTAGAGTAAGTACGTAGGTTAGTGCATGGGCCAAGTAAGTAGTAGTAGAGGGATGGGTTACGTATTAAGGAGTTTAGGTAAAAGTTAGTTTGGGTTGGGATAGGAGAGCGCCGAGAGGCCTAGTAGGGGTCGGCTAGGGTTGTTGGTTGCGTATTAGGTTTAGACGCCTATATATTGTAATCACGGCATTAGTCCAATCAATCAATAATAAACCTAAAATAGTCTTTCGACACTTTACGTCGTTCTCTCGCTTGTGAGCTACAAGCAACCCTAACCGATAGCGCAAGTTGCTATCAATTGGTATCAGAGCCTGCGATGGTAGGGACGGCTGCGGAGAGGTGTACCGCGCTTGAGCAGGCCGTGGAAGAGCTGCAGGCGGCGATTGCGGAGCTGCGCGGTGGGCAGCAGGAGGCGGACCTCACCCTCCCGGCGCTAGGCGAGCGTTTCGCCGGGGTGGACCAGGGTCTCCACGCGTTGGGCGGCCGGTTCGACAGCATGGAGAGAGCCATTCGTGACCTTCTCAAGGGAAAAGGGCTGGCGTATGACGGGGGCTCCGGGGAGAAGGAAACGACAGCCGCGAAGGAGGGCGAGCGCCGTGGATCATCGGCGTCAGGGGACTCCGGGCGGCGGCTCGACTTTGGGCGGTCCAGCGGAGGGGAGCCGAAGAACGGCGATGGCTCCCGAGGGGCCGATGGTGGCAGGAGCAGCGGCGGGGGATTCCTCGCCAAACTCGCTAGGCTTGAGTTTCCGCGATTCGCCGGAGAGGAACCAGGGGCGTGGTTCCCTAGAGTCGAACAATTTTTCGAGTACCACGAAGTTCTGGAGGAGCAACGGGTTTCGTTGGCTTCGTTCCACCTGGAGGGCGAGGCAAACCAATGGTGGCAGTGGCTGAAGAGGACATACAAGGATGCCGGGGAGTCCATCTCATGGGAACTGTTCGCGCAGGAGCTGTGGGCGCGATTTGGGCCAACAGAGGGCGAAAGCTGCGACGAGGCTCTCTCTCGGATTCGCCAGACAGGATCACTCCGGGATTATCAGCGCAAGTTTGAAAAGCTCGCTAATCGTTGCGTTGGCTGGACGGAGCAAGCATTGGTGGGAACCTATATGGGCGGGCTCAAACCCGAGATCGCAGATGACATTCGTATGTTTCGTCCGCAATCCCTCCGGGAGGCAATCAGCCTGGCACGGATGAAGAGCGACCAGCTGCAGCGGCCTAAACAACCGTCGAGTCGCGCGGCATCCAGTCCGGCGCCAAGTTCGGGGGCGGCGGGGTATGGCAGCGGGCCGACAGGGGCTCGCGCGGCGACCGCGGCGGGACTAGGACCACCACGAGGGGCTGCTGGTGGCAAAAGGTTGACCTGGGAAGAGCAACAGCTGCGACGCGCTCAAGGGTTATGTTTCAATTGCGACGAACGGTTTACGATCGGGCACAAATGCGGCACGGCCAAGATCATGTGCTTGTTCGAGGAGGAGGAGGCGGAATGTCAACCTTGGGGACAAGGTTGAAATCGAAGGGAGGAGGAATGGTAGCAACCCATTCGGCCAGAGGAGGGCTCGACGAGATAGGTGGGCTTTTGGAGTTAGTTGCTTTAATTATGTTATGTTCTTAATTGGGTTAGCTTGTGTTAGAGTAAGTACGTAGGTTAGTGCATGGGCCAAGTAAGTAGTAGTAGAGGGATGGGTTACGTATTAAGGAGTTGAGGTAAAAGTTAGTTTGGGTTGGGATAGGAGAGCGCCGAGAGGCCTAGTAGGGGTCGGCTAGGGTTGTTGGTTGCGTATTAGGTTTAGACGCCTATATATTGTAATCACGGCATTAGTCCAATCAATCAATAATAAACCTAAAATAGTCTTTCGACACTTTACGTCGTTCTCTCGCTTGTGAGCTACAAGCAACCCTAACCGATAGCGCAAGTTGCTATCAGAAGCACGATGAGAATTGGGAGATGAGGGTCGAGGAGAGAGATGGGTTCATGGAACTGTGGTGGAAAGGGTGGCTGGTCTCTTTCTGCTCGCTGTGGAAGTTGGAAGAAGTCGCCGACGACGAGGAATGAATGTGTTGGGGTAGCAGATTGAAGAACAGAAACTAAAATGGTGGAAGTGGGCTCCAGTTTGGTTTTTGGTTGGGTTGGGTTCATGGGTTGGGTTGGGTGTATGACATGACATGTTTAGTGACGTGGCGGGTTGGGTTTGACCATTTATTGAGAAAATCTTCAGTGCACCGGGTGCATATCCCACGTGGTGCACCGCCCCAATTACCCTTTGACACGTTTCTATCTATTTTTTAATATAAAAAGAAAGGTTAAATCCCTTATTACTTCTGCAAAAACCCACCGATTCCGGTCCCTTCTAAGACATTCTCTCATCTCCTAGGCAACAGTTTATATGTATTTATGTAGTTTTATGTCATTAAATACTGTGTTCAAAGGTCCTCCCTCTATCAATTACGATGGCTAGAACATGAGTGAAAAGGTGAGTTAGCAGTTTGCTGGCGGCACTCTTATAGATTTACTCCGGCTGGCCGAGCAGAAGTTTCCACACAATAACAAAGGATTGAATGTGGTTGAAACCCTAAACTTGTGCATTCTCATTCATCTCATGCCTTATATAGGCCGATCAAACAGAAGGAGACAATGGTGCTCTTACACAGTTTGTCACTTAGCTTGGAATAGAAACAAGCTCTATCTTGACGTAAAAGAAAGTGGAAAAAGAAACAGAGTGAAACGACAGCGTAGCAACAAGGAGAAGAAACAGAGCAAAACCACAGTGTAGCAACGAGCAGAGTGTGAAGGAGTGAACGACGTCGGATAGAGCTTCTTCTTCACAAATTGGGGACGACCGTTGAAATTGAATCTTTTAGGGATTCAATTCTTGTTATACAAGAATTCAACGTTTTGTTTAATTGTCATTTTTCTGAAAATATTAGTAGTATGAAGTAAGAATCTGCGTCGGGAATCCACCGGCCACTACCGGTCTTCCCTCGTACAAACAAACCATATATAATCAGCATCAGAGGGGATGTTCAGATGAACTCTTATTTCATCCCGAGTCCCGACCAATAAAAGAGGATATAAACCAGTGCGGGAGTTAGAACCGAAGAAAATTATATCCATGGGAGTTTTGCACCAATATTACTTTGGTGTGATGGAGTCTAAACGGGTGCCGGAAAACCAGTCCGCAGCTATCCCACGCTCAGGGTCTTCCTTTTTAAAATTATAGTTATAAATTCTTATTATTTAAATACCTTATTTGGCATATTTAAATTGGGGCGGTGCATAGGCTAGGTGGTGCACCGGGTGCAATGAAGATTTTCTCCCATTTCTGGTCCAAACTGGCGCTGACTAGGCGTTCCGGTCAGCCATGTCAGAACATAACAGACTCTTTAAACGGATTTGGATGGAGACTAACGGAGAGTGACTAAATGTGGTATGCTTAAGTAATTCGAGTGACCGAAATTGATATTAATTTTTTCTAGTGACTAAACATGACACGATTTAGTAATCTCAGTGACCGAACATGCCATTTACCCTTTGATTTGTATTGTGTTGGTAATATTCGCCCCGTAAGCGGCGTGGGCATAGGCAGGCATGGATGTTCTCCTCGATCTGATTTGACTCATCTTATTGTGGATTGGTTTTGTGTAAATTATATGTAATTTTACTCAAATTATTTTAAATTTCATTTTATTACACCATATTTTAGCTATAATAAATAGACGAGAGTTACAATTTATCAAATAATTTTACTACATTTAGCATGTCATAGTTTATTTTAATTTCTTTTGTAAAAAAATAATAATTTATTTTTTGCTAGTTAATACCGTAAAATGACCTGAACTTTATAATATATGATTGTCATGGCCTATCTTTTCAGAATTGCCTATATTGGCTTGAACTATTACCCATAAAGAATAATTAGGCCCAAACCTAGTATTGATTGTAAAGTTGGATGGCCAACAAGTCATGTACTTGCCATTTCAACATAAAGAAACATAAAAATTCATTATTCAACATCTTTTCTAGTATCAAATTATTACAATTAAATTAAAAAACTACAACAAAAATATAAAAAAATGAGAAAAAACATAATGAGGTACCATGATAAATGGTAAAGAGTGTTACAAATTATTTTCTCGAAATATATTTAAAAATAAAATATACGGACCAGATTTGGTTATGCATAAATGCATAACATTGGCTTATGCACCTAACCCTGAACCAAAAGATAATATAAAGCAATCAAATAAAATAAGATTGAAATGAATAAAATAAAAATGAAACGACCCGATCCCTTTTGAAAACCAAACCATAACTCAAACCACAAACCGGTTACTCCGGAGCAACTCAAACAACTCTTTCAAAATAAATAAACCGACAATATGTAAGAATTTCAAACAAAAAGGTTGAACACTTGGGCAAATGACAATCCCAATACTTAAAATAAATGAACTCAGAATTTCCAGTTTACACTCCTAACCATGTAACAAAGAAATTAAACTATTCTAGCTCTGACTCTTCACGAGTTTCTTGACTTCTCATCAATGCTGGTGCATCTACTCACATCGCCTTGCCTCTTCTTGAAATCCGCCTCTGCTAACCCTTCCTCGACCTGGTGACTGAGAAGGGGTCAGTCTCGTCGTTACTTCCTAAGTTCTTTGCCCTAAGCAAACTTTCTACTAACACGTTATTAGAGTTTCCTTCCTAGCACGAAAGTCATTCTCGCTTTCTGCTCTTAAATAATCATCCTTACTAAAACACGTTATTTGGGTTCTTGACTTAGACAAAAGTCGTTCTTGCTTCATCCTCAATAACTTATTTCAACATTAACTCATAGAAGTTCTCGACTTCTATCCTTAACCCAAACACAAAACACTAGGACCGCCGCGTTACGTCTTGCCGTCTGGTGTCCTACCCTAGTATGCCAACCCCATTACGTCTTGCTGTCCGGTGCATACCCAAACTCGGCAATGACACTGCGTTACGTCTCGCCGTCCAGTCTATGCCCGGTCAACTACTGCGTTACGTCTCGCCGTCCAGCAGTGATCCGACCATCTACCGCGTCCAGTAGTGGCCAAACCGCCCAGGGGTTCATCTTACCATTAACCAACTATTATAACCATATATCCATACATTCATACATAGCACAACGCGTGCCTCCACCCTTACAGGCGGTGGGATGCCTCACACACATATCGCGCATTACTCAAAAATTAACTAATTAATAACTTGAACGAAAAGCATAAACTAAAAGACCTACGACAGAGATTTTACCTCCTTTACACTCACCTAACTATATAACTAAAATCCATTGGCTTCATGAGCTAGGTACTCCAAAAGATGTCATGTAACAACTTAGCATTTAATCGACGATGCTCCCTGATCAACTCTATTCGTCTTGGTCGCCAAAAATCAACAACAACAAATCGCCCAAGCCATGTTAAAGCACCTCCATATTTACTTAACCATTTCACTTGATATCCCTCTATGAAATAACCAAATGTGAGTAGTGTAGGTAACTTGCCCAAAACTAAACGCTCCTGCAATTTTTCGCTTGTCAATGGAATTTATAGAGAGGGCCATGTTTTGGATTTGGCTCTGCTCGTATCCAAATTGATCGTCTTCCACCGACTTCTTGTTTCGACCTTCCTGCTTGCTTAAGCAGGCAGCTGTCGTAGTAGAGAGCCATCCACAATGGTCGGCGTTTCATGTCTCAATCGTCCTGGGTCCACTGCTAAAATCGCCTCCTGCATGCTGAAGCAGGCAACTACTAGAGGAGTGCATCAATCAAGCACGTCCATTATCCGAAGCAGGTAGGTCTCGAGCGTAGGGGTGATTGTAGCTTGGTCCATGAGGCCGCAGATCGCCAATTTACTCGTTCCCTTCCCGAAAGCAAGCAAGCTGCTCTCGTAGGAGCGAGGGCGATATGCTCTGCCTCCCTTTCGACACGGCTCTCGTGGCATAGGGAACGATGATGCACACTTTATCGATGGTGCCGCTTTAATTTCTCCAAAACAAGTCCTCCACCTCCTGGCTGCTTCCCCCAATCGTCTGAAGGCACCTCCTGCCAGGTTCCCGAGAGCGATAACAAGGAGATTACACCCATCCGAGCAATAACAAGGAGAGGAGCTTGCTTAAGCAAGCAGTTCTCGTAGTAGAGGGAACTGCGCCGCTTTGCTTTCCCTTCCCCAGCGCCGAGAGCAAGTTGGTTTCGGTGGAGGAGTAAAAGACTTCGAGGGTTTTTCTATTTGGGTTGAGACCGAATGTGGTTGTAGGGTCTGAGGTTTACTTAGCTAGAGAATATTTTGGGAATCTCACAAATTTACGTGTGAGTTTAATCCAAAACTCAATTAACGCCCGTAACTTACTCACTCTATGTCCAAATTTGACACCGATTAAAAAAGCAGTCAACATTTTTAGTCCTCATTGATATTACGGTGGTACTTGACCCAAAGGATTAATGGTCATTTTGTTTTTTGGGAAGAGCGGGGTGTAACAAAAAAAGTATTGGTTTGTTATTTTCTAGTGAATAAAATGTAGAGGTACAAAAATACACATTTATAGGGAAAACCCTACAAACCCGAACCCTTTCCCTCGCAAATACGGTAAATGAATCCTAATCCAACTCCTAACCGATTATTTTCTCAACAAGAAATAATAATATCCCAAAATAACAAAAAGAATATGAAAATAAACAATAATAATAACTGAAAATATCCTAATGACCCAGACGGCCAGAAAACGTGCACTCATCAAACCCCCCACCCCCCCCCCCCTTCAAGCGGCCTCGTCCCAAGGTTGCGTGCCCTTGCCGACTTCCTCCTCTCCACATTCCCTGGTTATGACGAACACTTGATT